AATTCGATCATAGAATTCTATGAACAAGTCTTGTGCCGCATCAGCAACAGATGCTATGGCAGTCAGAAGCTGTAACATAGGAAATCACGAAAAATGTAGGTAAGAAAGACAGCACTCGAAGAGAAAATGCGCCATGATAATCAAGAAATATCCAAAAAGCACCTGTTCACAACGAAGCTTTTTTCCCGTCGACTGCATATGCGAAAAAGCACTGCCTAAAGCTTGTTCCAACCCATTCATGAATGGCAGGAAGATAAGCAGAAATGATCTGGAATTACCATGTATATGCGCACTACCAGCTTCAGTTTAATTGACAAGACATGAATAAAACTTCTCAATTACCTGCTTTGGACAATCTTCACAAAAATTAATCAAAGCAGCTGCAGCGTGTGCTGATACACGATCACATGTGTTATCAAGTAAGGTATTCATCAAGGCAGGAACAACCTTAAATGATCCACCACTCATTAAACGACTGATGGATTCCAATTGAAAATTTGAAATTTGTAGGTGTATGTAAACGATGCTACAAAAGAAGTTTTGAACGCTCCCATCATACGTTAGATGTTCACCAATTGCTCAACCAACTATAGTATTTGTTTCCGGTGTTTGAAAAAGATCCTTTAAGTAATTTCCACACTAGGCTATCATTTTCAAATTATTAGCTTTTCATTATAGCACGATGGAAATATCATCGTATCGACACTTAGAAAACAGTTACAAAAAAGTGTATGTCGTCCACTATGAAAACTTATCCAATTTATTTTTTCATTTGCACGATGCCCAAGAAAAGATTCTATTAGACGAAAACAAATGATAACTAAACCCATCCGAATACAAAAAAGGCCAGATAGGAAGTGTTCTCTGGCATTAAAAAAATGGTTCACGTAAAAAAAATTTAGGACACAAGGCACAATGTCACAGCTCACAAATGTGCCAACGAAGCAGATCGTCGAGAGGTGTCGAGAAACTTGAATTCTAAGTTTCAGCTAGGCATCTCATTATCAGATTTTAGCCGCGTATCACGCCGCTAGGCTACTTCTTTAAATCTGGTAGCTAGTAATAAAATTTGCCCTCACTTACACCTTTTGAGAAAGATTAAATCTCCTCCTCATTAAAGGTTTCCGCTTCAAAGCACTCTTGCAGAGAGATGCTACCTCAGATGAGGCTGATCTAGGTAGTTCATAGACAGGAAAATGGCGCACATATTTCGAACTCTATTCGAGCCTTTAAAAAAGAAAAGAACGAAATGTTTCAGGCCGATCATTCAAGATTTCATCTAACCACCCCCTTACGCGAAAGGATGCAATATAACACACAACTTAAAAGGTATTTATGAATTCAATTAAAGATTCTCAGAACCGTTTAACAATTTCTATTTAGGCTTCTTTGAATTGTGACTCCGATACTTTCCATCTGACAACAAGGCGTGGAGATGAAGGTTGCACTATGGCCAACTTTTAGACCATATTGTCGCCCTCACAGGCCTAACCCATCAGTGCAAGAAAGGATCAGCCTCACTCTATATTGGTCGCAGTTAGTAAATCTATAATCGGTACCTATTTTGCTAACCACAACTAACACAGAATGGCGCCATTCCACTCTTGCGATGGTGAACCCGATTTTTGAAGATGACGACCAGGTCGTGCCGTCAGAAGGCCTCATTATTAAGACTAAGTAATATGAAATTTTCAAAGTACAATGGTGGAAACTGTAACGCTCACCCATTCATGACATTTCTTTTGCAGCGTTGGAGCAAAGTCTGAAGACATTTGCCCGATAGCATTGCATGCAGCGTAGCGAACACGGGGATGCTGTAAAATCATTTGAAAAGGACACAAGGGTAAGAAAGAGTGAAATGACATCCACAATAACTAGTAAGAGTGAGAAGGTAAATCCTCGATGAGCTATAATCTCCAATCACAATTTATTATGTACGTAATCAGGGTAACAAGGAGAAGTATGACCTCACCTTATCATTTAGAAACGGAATAAGCTCTCTGACAATAGATTGTATTTGAGGCTCCATTACGCGCTGACATCCCTCTCCGATCACAGAAAAACCCATAAGAGCAACGTGACGTTCACGCCAATCTTCTGAAAAAAAACTCCAGTAATTGGGCGGATTATACACATGAGTAAGAGCGAAGGATCGTACCTGAATGACGCAGCTTGCCAGTTAATGCGACGAACGACGACAGGATGTACTTCCCGTTCAAGGCACAAGCTATTCTATCCAACGCCGATTCGCCCACAGCAACAGACCTGGAGTAACCGATTTTTGAGGAGAAAGAGGGGTCGTGATAACACTTACTCCTCATCGTCCTCAGCATCGAGCTCATCCACTTCAAGCCACTCATTCAGATCCATGGTTAGATGAGTCATAAGGAGCAGCACGGCTTTCACTTAATGAAAACATAATATTGTTACTGTTGTTGATCTATGTACAAGTTAACACCGACCCAACTGATATCACATGGAGCTGGCTTCAAAAATGAATATCTCATTCGTAATTGGGGCATAAACTACCTCTACAGGCAAAGTTGCGATGAAACATAGAATTCGAAGAATTTGGGGCAGTATTAGTGAAATAGTGCTGGAACCATGGGTAGGTCTGGAGTTTACTCACATATGAAGAAAATGCTTTGCGAGTAGCGTTTTTTCAACACTGCTGCAGAGTATTCACAAATTGTCGCGAGGACTTCAGTTGCCGAATGACGGTAGGCGTCGTCTTTTTCAGTGTTGAGAACGCACTAGAAAGAAAAGTGTTTTATAGTAAGCTATAAATTAAAAGAGGAGTAAAACAAGAAAAACTCACCGCAATGCACATCTCGAGGAAACTAGAAAGATGTGGATTCACCATCTTTGGAGCAGCTGCCTCTAACTCCGAAAGACACTGCAACGGGGTGTCGTCCCCATCATCATGTGTGCAGGTATAACGACATACCTAAGAATATTGTTAGATCAGTTAGACCTATATTAGCGCTTCTTTCTAATTTTCGTGGAGCAGCTAATGAAAAAAAAAGTTCTTACCTCTACTACTTGGCTCATTAGTGGTGAAAGATCTCTGACAAGATGATCGTCGTCGTCATTTTCAACAATAAAAGTAACAAACGCTTTGAACGCCGAAGAACGAATCTCGGAATCAGCACCTTTGAATAACGCTGAGAAAGCATTCTGAAACAAATAAGTTTCATTCTCACATCATACACTCAGCACTTTTCTTTCGAATAAGCACCTCGTGTTGGTTTTTTTTTCAGTTCATTTATGGCAAAACATGGATACATCTTTTTCTGCTGTAACAGCAGTAATAATATGTAAACACCTCGCTGTGAGGACGAAGAGGCGGCTAACACGAGGTGACGTGACGTTATAAACTTTCCTTTGTGCTCTCTCTTACTCCCTTAAGCTTAAAGCGATACCAAAAAGGATACCAATGAGCCAGGAGGAGTGAAGCCAATTCAGGGAGGTAGGAGGTGCGTTGTCGATTTCTGTAAGGCAAAAGGTGCTGGCGATGTCACGTAACGTCACCAGCACCTTTCGCGCTGCTGACACGAGCCCGAATAGTAGCGGGGTTGATGACACTTTACCAAACTATGCATTCAGTGGTGCCGCAAGGAAAATGACTGAATTCCCCTCCATTTCAAAAAAACAAGAAGAGCGTCGGGTGCAGACCATACACCACAAGTGACGACGGCCTCCACAAAATGTAAATGTTTTCTGCCAATGAAATGATTAGCCTGTTGCAGTTGTATTCTATCAGTTGTCACTAATTACAACTATCATTTACCAAAAATCAGCTATCACTATGAACCACTACTAACCAGATTTACTTGGAGGCCGTCGTCACTTGTGGTGTATGGTCTGCACCCGACTCTTCTCGTTTTTTTGAAAGGGAGGGATGTATAGATACCATGCTTGCGCTGGAAAATTAGGAGATATTCCCGAAAGTGTACAGCTCTTGAATACTAACGACTGTAATTTTGGGACACACTGTGGAATTGTGTTTGTGGTGAGTACAAAAGCTTTCTAGTCTCTGATTGTCTCTTTTTTGTTAATATTTCCCAACCCTTTCACCGTTCCCGCCCTTCTGTGCCAAGTATGGTGTTCCTTCTTTGCTACTCCAGATCTTCAATTGGAATAAACTAATTGAAAAAAGTATGTTCCCTAGTTCTGGTGCTCTGAGCCTCGCAGCCTATGATCGGTCCGAGAGCGAGGGCAGCGATGAAAGCCAGTGGTCCCGCAACGATTGTTCGCATGCTGCTGTAACCGCTGCTGGGGAAATTGGCAACGTAAAAACTGTTAAAATGAATCACGACTTATAAACAAAAAGTACAGGAGAAAAGCAAAAAAAATTGAAAATCAAAATGTAGAAAACAAGGAATATCTTTGCAAAATACCTTGATTCGAGGAACATAACTGTCCTGCTCAGATCCAAAAATGTTGGGAACGGACCTGAAATGAAACGAAAATTAAGCGCTTTTGAAATAAACGAAAGCTGAACACTATTGCACTACCACGACTCTAGGAAGAATAAGAGAAAATTCCCCTGGAACTGCGCTAGCAGGGGTAATTCGGTGACCTTACCGCGAATCGAGTATTCGGGGCCTATTCAAGTTGGAGGAAGGGACATGCGGTTTGGAGCCCCAACGTATTTAAAACCAAGGATAGCGTATTCTCCTAGTGTAAAGGTTTAGAACTGAGTATTACAAGGGAAGGGAAATAAGGCTGGTGTCAGAGTCCGCGATCCGCTCTTCGCGATTTGCGCGATTTTCGCGATTTGCGCGATTTTCGCGATTTGCGCGATGCGATCACAGGAGTTGGAAGTGCCCGATGAATACTGCGAGGTGTTGTTTAATCCTGCTGCGAATTCTGCTTGGCAGTAAAGATTGGAAGACGAATGTTTGTGGTTCTACTTGTTTCATGTTCAATGTCTATTAGTTCATTGAAATGCTCTTGAATCGTTCCTTTTTTTTTCAGGAATCAAACCAAACCAATCACAAAAATTGCAAGTGCCCCATTTGAACAATTGAAACACTGGATATGAAACAAGTGGAATCATGAGCAGTCTCCATTAAACCATAACCATCAAGCAGAAGTGACGGCGGGATTGGAGAACACCTTGCAGTATGGATGGGGCACTTGTAATTTCCGCGTGACCCATCGCGCAATAATCAGGCCAAAATCGCCAAACCAAGACGAAAATCGCGCGAGGAATTCGACGGATCTTCTGACCCAGCCTAACAGGGCTCGATGAGCGTTCTAGTTTCTCGAGGGGCAAGACTTCCTCCCTTCTGAAGGACGGACGAATCAGTCGGTCGGAAGCAGCAACGGTCGTTACCCAAGCGTCATATGGCCGGACGCATAGTCGGTCGGACGACAGCAACGACTGCTGCTGTCGGACGACAGCAACGACTGCAGGTGTCGCATAAACCGCGGTCGCAAATGGAAGGCGACGCGGTCACCCAATGCAAACCCAGACAACACGTGACTGCGCGTGATCGTATTTCGAAAGTCCCACTGTAGTGTGGAATAGTAGCTGCGTATTGATCTGCGACACTTGCAGTCGTTGCTGTCGTCCGACAGCAGCAGTCGGACGACAGCAACGACTGCAAGTGCCGCAGATCGATACGCACCCAATACTGTGCGACACTTGCAGTCGTTGCTGTCGTCCGACCGACTATGCGTCCGGCCATACAGACGCAGTCTGAAAGGAGGCGACAGCGGTGCATCAATACTTAACCCAGAACAACATGTGACTGGCGTGATCGTGTTCGAAGTCCACTTGTTGGCAGCGGGTATTGATCTGCGACACTTACGATCGTTGCTGTCGTCCGACAGCAGCGGTCGTAAGTGTCGCATGTGTCGCAGATCGATACGCACCCAATGCTGTGCGACACTTGCGATCGTTGCTGTCGTCCGACCGACTATGCGTCCGGCTAAAATAGCCCTAGCTGCTTCCAGGCAGGTGTGCAACCTTTACGTTGACGATTATGTGGAGAGATTTGGACCGATGTTCACCGCTCTCCGCGCCGGCATTCGCCGCCACCCGCGAGCCGTCTGTGTCTCCGTGCGTACGTTCACTCTCGGCATTACTCTCGTCGTCGCGTTGGCTTTGTCCAACGGACGGTTGACCCTGGATCTAGGAATAAAGTAATTATTGGTGCCTATACAAGGAGGTTGGACGTGCCGCATTTTTTAAGCATTAATGTATATAAGTGGGACTGCTGCCAGCTACTATACTGTCACGAGAATCGGGGAATTCGCAAGCCAGGGGACTGTAGTCAACCTAGGGAATGGGGATGAGGGGACTCACTTGACTGCTTGTAAGAGCTAGGCGTGTCCCTACTTTGTATTGCACCTATTACTGACGTTTATTTGAAAAGCTATCGAACATACATTTGTCTTAAAATATAGAAGACCAACGTAAGGTATGAAGCTAATACTAGCTTTTTGAATTTAAGACTCCGTGAAACAATTGCATCAGAGCAGCCCTGAGCCAGCAACTGCCTCCCCGAAACATGGCAGTAGATCGGTTTGTTTTTGACATTGAATCCATCTAGCATTGCCACCCTTGGCGAAATACTTCTTCCCACAAAATTTGGTGGGAGCCTAAGTATAAGTTGCTTCCTGATAATGTCTATGATATTAGTTTCGCCGATGGCCTCATTTAGCGGCAGCTGAGGCAATCTTTTGCTAGCTTGGCGCCAAAGTGCCGCCATATGGCGTTAGTGTCAGATCGTGCCGAATCATGATTAGACTTAAGGAAAGTTCGGGCCTTCAGACCCACTTAATGGAGCCTTTACGTAGCTAAAACGTACGCAAGTGTAGAGGTCGCGTCACTTCCCTACTTCGAAAAGCCGTTATTTAGACGCTAGGCGCTAAGAACTTTGACACGCTCCACCTGCTGCGACACGCTCCGCCCACCGCTCGATATCTTGTCTGCGTCGGAATGTTGATCTGCTATGCTCTCTCTACTTAGACTTCTCTAGCGCTCTCCGCGCTCACATTATCTCTCATCTCCCTGCCGGCCTTTTGAACTACTCCGCTAAACTAGAGCAAAACTCGTATGCCTTTGTCTTGTCATAGTTTTTCTTTTTTCTCCTGGCAGTCAGGTCTACCTCCTACTTTACACATTGGAGTGGAATTATCATAATTCACTTTTAGTATCCAAAAAATCTTATTTTATTTAATATTTAAATTATTCCTGATTTGCCTTGAATATTCAAAGTAAAAATAAGAAATAGCTATAACCAAAAGTGAAACTACAGGTCCATCTTATGCATTGGCGACAATGTCGAATGGAACTATCTCTGATAAGTTTTTCCTTCTTCAGTTAATGTAGGATGCATCCTACATTAATCATAAGCAGAGGCCTCCGTGGACCATGACAGGTCCTCAACATTTCTTTGAGTGCGGATTTTGAACTGCACCATCCGCAAGGAGATCGTCGCTTTATCTGATACTATTACTTTTACTTCGAAAGGAAACGTTTTCACCTTCAGAGCAGACCTTGCTCGAGTGGGTCAAAACTCATTCGATGCGACGGCGTGCATAAACCACTTGCTCTCTGATTTTTAAATTTACGAGCCAACTTTGGGCTGGATGCCTTGCAGAACAATTCCAACATCTCTTCATGGTATGCCAAATAAAGTTCATCCCACTGCTTATACTGCACTTGAGTGCAATTGTCGATGCGTGAGATGAGGGCAATTTCGAACGGTATGGAGAACGCTCTTGCACAGTTGAGGTGCGATGCTTTGAAGTGTTGTATTACTAGACGACGAATTCATTTCGGTGAAGATGCATATGTGTGGATACATCGACACCTTTTAAGAACCTACCTGTGTATGTCCGCCTTGACCGCTTCTTGAATATTGGGATGTTATCTGATTGCGAAGTGATAGGGGATGGAATGGGTCTGCACACCTGAGACGGAGATCCCCGCAGGGCACAACGATTCATCTAGAGGAGCGGAAAGGTAATATTAATGTTTGTCAGCGATGCAATAGAACGAGCGCCTCACGCCAGATTGAATGAGCCCGTAAGGCTGATGTCAGACTTTGCGAATCGCGCGATTCGCTAGCGTCTGCGGTCGCGTCGCGGCCAGTGAATCACTCAATTGGCTGGTACCGCAACGCGACCGCGGACGCTAGCGAATCGCGCGAATCGCTAGTAGCGACGTCATAACTTCGTATAATCGGCCTGATCGCTGGATAGATAATAATAAGATAAAAAATAATTTTCCATTCTTCCCTCTTTCCCTCCATTCTGAAGAAGTGTGCAGATTCGGTGGAAAATTCTACAGAAGTATGCAGATTGGTGAAAGGCTTGCCTTCAAAACATTTTGAAATTTGAACGATTTCAATATGGCAAAAAAAGTCGCGGCCGAAAAAGCATTTGGCCGATGACTTTTGGGTGCTGCTGTACGTGGTGGAGTTATTTGGTGCCCTAATCTAGAATATGACATCAACCCTGACACTGGCACTATTAAGCGCCCTTTTCTGCTATTCCGTCTCATCTCTGATCAGATTGGTTACAAGGGAAGGATTCCAGATCGAAGTGGTCGTTCGGAATGAAACGCTCTGTTTAATGTTCGAAAGCGGTCCCAACCTTGCAAACTGCGAAACGATTCGAAGTATTTCAAATGGGGGAGCGCAGCGGTAGCAGTGCAGGCCAACAGGCAAGTGGTCGTGAAAGCGACTTTTGCCAGATTCCCTCTCTTGCATTTTTCAAAACATTGTTGAAAGGCCCTAATCTACGCTAAATCATCGGCGCTTAGCTAAGCTACCGAGTTCGAAGGGTCAGGTAATTCGAATGAAGTTTCTTTTTTTGGATTAAAATGTCGTGAGTCATCCCGTAGCACACAATTCAGGCCTTTTCGTGCCTGAGGATGTGGCATTCGTGTTCAGCGGGTCAAAATACTCTTTTGGGCAAATTTTTAGTTACATCCCGAGATTTTGACCCAAAGGCGGGAGTGTGGGCGGTCACTTTTTCTTAGATCAATTGAGCAAGTCTCTTCCCAGGACATCAGACCTTTAGCTGTACTTTCTAAAGGGATTAACCAACAGTGACACTTCTTTGCATCAACCGAGGATTCACGTGGCAGTATTTTCCACTGCAACCCCTCAGTGTCTCAGTTATAGCTTGGACGTAGCAGTAAGGCCGAATACGCCAATGACTGTTCGCCACATTTTCGCCAAAGTTGGTCAAACTCAGATGTATCTGGAAGAATGGAAGTTTTCGATCAGTCGTGACCGCTGAGCCGAACTTATAAATTTTTGTGACCTTAGCTCAGGAAGATGACGTCACTTCGGTGAGATGCGTCGAAATGAATCGTAGCGCCTTGCGACACTGTATGAAAAACAAGTGTGGTAGGAATACAGGAACTTTTTGGCTTCTACACTGCGTAGCTTTCAGACCTAACAGCACATTTATCATAATATCTCGTCTTCAACCAGATCCGAACAGCAGTCCCACCAATACGAGTCTCCACCACGATCACTTCGCCAATCTCTTGCAGTTAGCTCTGATTGCCGGCGTCTCGGAGAATCAACTCACAAATAAAGGGCCACTTCGATCAGCATCCAAGGAGGCGTCTGCGAGTACAGACATCATTGGGAATGGCCATATCGGAATGGGATCCTTTCTTTGTTAGACCTAAGTCTGGAGAGAGGGCCACTCACTCGCCGTGAGGTGGAGTGTGCTGAGATCACAGGATGATTACTTACCTACTCTGGAGCTCCTCCCGCACCATGCTGTGGGTTTCAGTGTTATCTCATAAGTAAAAGGACTCATGAGAGGAGAAGTAAATTTTCACTAAATGAAACTGGATGTCGCATTTGTGATCAGGGTACCGGATTATCCCTTTGTGTGGTCATAGCAAATTCCGTGAAATTATTGGTTGCACTATATTGGTGCGATTTGCCGCCGATTAAACGCTAGCGCCGAAAACAAAGGTCATATTTGTGATCGGGATTCTCTATACCCTCACAAAAAAATTTCAGTAAAAAACTTCCGAGTCCCTACGTCCTTTTTGCCTCAATCCCCGCCTCCACTGGGGTTTCAATATTGTTGAGCGTAAATATTTGCACTAAGCTCATATGTTACGAAGTCTCAAAAGCTAATAATTATAAACATATCAAAAAATTAGCGGAAGGAATACTTAACTTTATTACCTAACTGACATTGGACCACTAATAGACCTTTTCACTATTTATTACATAATTTTCACATATTTTAATCCATTTATACCTAATTCTTAACTTACGTTTATAAGGAATAAATTTGACTGCTTCTCTGTATGATTATATGTGGGCTCATGTCTGCACCTCTGAAAACCGCGAGTTCGATCCCTGCCGAGGCTAACCATGCCTTGCAAAAATTGCAAAAATGGTTCTAGTACCAGCGTCAGGCCCAGGTTGACAGGCCGGCTGATGAAGCTCCAGTCACAAAACCACGATTGAAAGCCACAGGAGGTTGGGACAGTGGACCCTCCGACTGTGCGGGATTAACGCTAGGGAGAAGAAGACAATAATCTTCTGCATGATTAATTCCCACGTCAATCTCAAGGTTTATTCGTCTTTCCCCTGTGTCTTTATTTCGCCAATCCCAACTCACTGATGAGCTCCGGGGATTGACGAAATAATAAGGTTCGTCTGAGGAAGGAGCGAAACGAACCGTTTATCTATTTTGTTTATAAGAGTTTTATATTTTTTAAAATTCTAATGGTGCAACAGGGCTGAAGCCAGCTAGGAACATTACAACCAAATATATGGGAGGAATGAAAATGTTGCAGCACACAAGGTTTTTTTAATAGCTGGTGTATAAGCAATCAATCAAATAAGTGACATGAGCCAACGAAACGAAGCTGTCTGGAGGCGCACGTATGAATCTCGGACTACATCAAGAGATAAGACTTACTCGAGTAACACTGCAACAAACTCGACCTCGGTGACGTTCTCGCTGGCCATACAGTGCTCTAGGAACTGGAGCACCTCGGCCCAATTTTGTTTACCCGTATCCTCGTCTAGAATAAAGGGAATTTCAGAGTGTACAAATTTATGGCGCAACTGACAGCTAGCACACTCACCAACCGTATTGCGGGCAACTTCTGCAA